TTGTGATGCTTCTTTGTTTGCAATGGCGATATATGAGTAACATTGCTACTCTAGATGCTGATGAATCGGAGAACCGCCTGTAGGATAGCCCCAAAGTAGTATGGCCCAACTTGAGGCCAAAGGCTACTGTCCAGTTAATATACACATCTCTGCGATAATCTTCAACACTGGTGTCCTGCAAGGCTGCGTACTCACCCCCTACTATACTCCTTATACACTCATGACTGTGTGGCCAAATTCTGCACTAGCTCCATTTAAAAGCTTGCTGATGACACTGCCGTTGTAGGTTGGATCTCAAACAGAGAGAGTGCTTAGTGGCACAGTGTAAAGACAATAATCTCTTCCTCCATGTCAGCAAAATGAAGGAGCTGGTCATTCACTTCAAGATGCAGAGTGGAGGGCACACTGTGTCAGTGGTGCTGAAGTGAAGATGGTCGATAGTGTCAAGTTCCTGGCTGTGACAATCACCAACAATCTGTCCTGGTCCACCCGTATGGACTTGATGGTCAAGGAAATACAACAATGCCTCTATTCCCTCAGGCTAAGGAAATTTGTCATGCCCATAAAGACTCTTTAAATTTTTATAGATGCATCATAGAAAGTATCCTAAGTGGATGCATCACAGCATGGTATGGCAACTGCTGTTCCCAAGACCACAGGAAACTACAGAGAGTCGTGATCACAGCCCAGTCCTGCTGCATCAGCAAAGCAACCAACATTATCAAAGACCCCTCCCATCCCATACTGTCTTCCACCCTCATCTGTTTTGTTGGGCAGAGGATGTAAAAGTTTGAATACATGTACAAACAGATCCAAGAACAGCCTTTTCCCAGCTGTTATCAGACTTTTGAATGGACCTCTCAAATGTTAATGTTGGTCTCTCTCTCTCTGCAGCTGTAACATTGTACTCTGCACTCTGTTCTGCTACTCTGATGCACTTTGTATGGTGTGATCTGCCTGTAAAGCATGCAAAACAACATTTTTTCACTGTATCTCGGTCCATGTGACCACAATAAATCAAATCAAGCCAGACGTCCTCTCCATGCAGGGAGATTGCCAATGATATGATTGCATCCACTGAGTTCATTTGGATTTGGTGTAAATGACATTTGCTGGAATCTGTGGGAAAGGGAATGGTTTAATAATGATTAAATCTTACTCTTTCATCCAATGAGGTATGAAGCTCCTGACTTATCTACAAGTCATCATTTCAAGCGCTGTCCATCACCATTACACTTTTGCACAGTTTATTTGTGCCCAACCTGCAGTTTGATCAAGGTTGAAGGTGCAGATCAACAAACAGTTACTGAATAATCCAAGGTCAAAACCTTTTTCTGCAGTTCTTGGTGTTTCTTGCAGAGGGCAGCCCTGTTCTTAGATCCGTCTGCCCATTGGGCACAATCTTGTGGACAAAGCAAGATTTCACAAGCTTCAAAATCTCCCCTCCCCCTACCGCATCCCAAAACCAGCCCAGCTCATCCCCGCCTCCCTAACCTGTCCTTCCTCCCACCTATCCCCTCCTCCCACGTCAAGCCCCACCCCCATCTCCTACCTGCTAACCTCATCCCACCCCCTTGCCCTGTCCGTCCTCCCTGGACTGACCTATCCCCTCCCTAACACCCCACCTACACTCACCTTTACTGGCTCCATCCCCGCCCCTTTGACCTGTCTGTCTCCTCTCCATCTGTCTTCTCCTCTATCCATCTTCTATCTGCCTCCCCCTCTCTCCCTATTTATTTCAGAACCCCTTCCCCTCCCCCATTTCTGAAGAAGGGTCTAGGCCCGAAATGTCAGCCTTCCTGCTCCTCTGATGCTGCTTGGCCTGCTGTGTTTATCCAGCTCTACACCTTGTTATCTCAGATTCTCCAGCATCTGCAGTTCCTACTATCTCTGAATTTTGTGTCTGTACCTTTCCGGGTTTCCTCCATCATCATTCAAAATCTGAATTTATACTAAAATATTATTTTTTCCTAACTGCAATGCTAACTTGACCGATCTCTGAACGCATACCCTGCAAGGAAAAAAAATGAATAATTAAAATTAGTAATAAGTGCAGCTGTCTCTAAATCCCACGAAGAAAAATTGTCAGATCTATTTTCTGAGATTTTTGTTGTTTTTCAAAGCTTAAAAACCATAAAACAATACTTTTTTAATGTTCCATGAGCCTGAACTCATTTTTCTACAAAGTGCATGAGAATTTGCTTATGGTGAATGCATTTTAAATAAGCTGTGTCAATGGTCTTTGTGGCTATGGAGTAGATTTTACAAATTAGGATTCCAGTCACAGGCCCCTGACAGGGACACATCTTGGGAGTTAAAGCTCAGAGACCAGTGTGTCCCATACAATGGGCTGGATTCAGTGGACATGACCTTAGGTATCGCCCAGCAGCTGGAGAGCTAGTGGGAGGCCCATGTACACTTTTTAGGAAAGTGTCCTCTGAATTAATTGCCTTTCAGGCCCTTAGCTGGATAGCAGTAAGCCTTCCCTGGGATCAAGAGATTGCCATTGATGGTCTGAAACAAACGCAGAGAACGCTGGAGAAACTCAGCAGGTCTGGCAGTGTCTGTGGAGAGAGAGAGAGACAGACAGAGTTAATGTTTTGAGTGTGATGTGACTCTTCCTTGTAACTGAAAGAGGCTGGTAAAAGATGGTAAAAGGAGCAAGTGGGAACAGGTAAAGCCCTACAGCTTGGAGGCCACAGGTGAATGACAGGTGGTGCTGCTTACAGAGTGTGGGTCACTGGGGGAGAGAATTTCAGCAGCAAGAGACACAGACATGGCAATTTCCCAGGCCTCTTGTCTTCTCCCTCCTCCTGGCTTTCATTGGGCCTCCTCTTTCAGATGGCAGATCCCTCAGGCAGGACTGAATGCCTATGAAGAGAGAAAACCCACTAACATCACCACTCCCCACTCAGAATCTGCGCCCTGCATAGCAAGGCCCCCTGCCCACCATTGGGCTCCTGTCAACGCGGGCAGCTAAGGCCCATACATAAAGTCTTACAGCATAGAAACAGGCCCTTTGGCCCAACTCTTCCATGACAACCAGGTTTCCTAAACTGAACTATACCCATTTATCTGCATTTGGTCCATATCCCTTATAGGCTTTCCTATCCATGTACCTGTCCAAATGTCTTTTAAATGTTGGAATTGTACCCACCTCTACCACTTCCTCTGGCAGCTCACTCCATATACGTACCACCCTTTGTGTGAAAAAGCTGTTCCTCAAGTCCCTTTTAAATCTTTTCCCTCTCACCTTAAACCTATGCCATCTAGTTTTGGACTTCCCTACCCTGGGAAAAAGACCTTGTCTATTCACCCTATCCATGTCCCTCCTGATTTTATAAACTTCTACAAGGTCACCCCTCAGCCTTTGACGCTCCAGGGAAAATAGCCCCAGCCTATCCAGCCTCTCTTTATAACTCAGACCTTCCAGACTCAGTAACATCCTCGTAAATCTATTTTGCATCCTTCCTACAGCAGGGCAACCAGAATTGTACGCAGTACTCCAAATGTTGTTCGGAGTACATGATGTTTTGGCTCCTGTACTCAATGTTCTGACCAATGAAGGCAAGCGTGCCAATGCTGCCTTTGCCACCCTGTCTACCTGTAACGGCGTTTTCAAGGAACTATGCACCTGTACCCCTCGGTCTCTATGTTCGACAACACTCTCCATGGCCCGACCATTACTTCGTGGCCTCATTTGGCAGTGGGAAGGGGTGGCCTTCTACAGGCCTGCACACACTCTCACTAACTTGGCAGGGCTGGGTACAGGTCCCCCACCTCACTATCCTCCTACACTATTAAATTCCCCCCACCTACCTAACACCAAACCTGCCATGAGGGTGGACATAAACTCCATCCGACTTTTAATTCATTGTGGTCTATGCATCAGAACCCTTGGCCTGTGCTCGTGTTGCATGCAGTTCTGTGCATACTGTTAATTTGCAATATCTGCCCTGAGCAGTAAACTCTGGTGACAAACATGTGAAAGGTTGACTGTTTTGTGTCAATTGGTTTCTCAGGCAATGCCTGTTGAAGTGCTGAGAGAAGGTCCACACCGTCTTGTGACCATCAGGCACTTCAGTGGACAGCTTCCAGGCCTTCCCACTAACTGTAGGCTCTGGCATTGACATTCCAGATCCCTGGAGCTGCTGGTCAACAGCGCCACAGCGGAGGTTGTGGCTGCTTCCAGTACAGCATGCTCTGGACTCCCAGGACAGATGATCAACTGGGGTGAAAGGTAGGTGTTGATGGAGGAGAATATCGCAGATGGGGCCATCACGGAGAGAGGATGACCAAGGGAGTTCAAAAGGAAGGGCAGGCAGAAGCTGCGAATGGAAATAGATTCCTAAGTAGTCCTTGGATGCTTGTTAATTGACTACTTTAGGATCTTAAAGGGAGCAGGGACAGGATTGTTGTGCCTGGCCCTTCCTACCTATAATTTATTTGGATAGAGGTGGGAAGGCATCTGAATTTATCGGGACACAGACATGGCAATTTCCCAGGCCTCTTGTCTTCTCCCTCCTCCTGCGGGCCAAGATAATCCCACCCATCATTGGGCCTTCCCTCTTCAGGATATTTTGCAGCCAGACAGTCAGTATTATTCACAAATAACATGAACAAGTTACATCTCTACTGGGGACATGTGCATTATTGTTGTGGGCTAGAGACCAATTAACTGCAGTCATCATAGAAGACAATGAAAGCAATACAATGCAATAATGCTGCTTGACATAACAAGGTGTAGAGCTGGATGAACACAGCAGGCCAAGCAGCATCAGAGGAGCAGGAAGGCTGACGTTTCGGGTCTGGGCCTGGTTCAAGCACAGTCCAGATTTAATTCATTCTGTTTGAAGTGTTGTGTGGTATGAGAAAGATACGTTGTTGAATTATTTTTCCAGCACAAATGTTATTTCTGATAACGACTGTACAAAGTGATATGCATACTCTGGATTATACAGCGGTCTGCTGAACTGATTTTATGCTTTCCCCTTTATCAGGCAGCCTCTGGTGGACACTCTACCAGCCTGTGGAACTGAAGCATGTGTCAGCTTCATAACAGAGATTGTCCTGTCCAAAGAGCTGGATACCGATCGAACAGACACCTTTCTCTGGTCTTTGGCATTCATTCCTGAACCGACAATACCAATGATTGCTGCAGTTACTGTGAGCACTTTCCCTTTTATTTATCAGTTGTAAAGCAGGTTGCATTTTTATTGAGATAACAAGGTGTAGAGCTGGATGAACACAGCAGGCCAAGCAGCATCAGAGGAGCAGGAAAGCTGACGTTTCGGGTCTAGACCCTTCTTCAGAAAATCATTCA